CCAGGGAGTGATGGCAGAAAGCAGAAAGATATATAAGGCGTGAGAACCAGAAACTAGCAGCATTTGGCTGGTTAAGCTTTCAGGCTTTTGAGCAGCAGTTCAGCTGAGATTCATTCTGGATGAGGACTCAGAGGCTTCCAGTCTGAGGAAACAGGATCAGCTGAGGAACTGGCCAGGTGAGGTAACTGTGGCTTGTTCTGCTTCTCTGATCTTCTAGCATTCACCCCAATAACTGGCCCCAGGTTTGATCTTATTAATAAGACCTGTTAAGATTCCTGCTACAATAGCCTTTTAAACACATGACTGAAACTTCAGATAGCATCCTTTACAAGTATAAGGTACCACCTTTCAGGATGTAGTTATGCATTAAATCAGAGATTTATACATGGTTCTGTGTTTCTTGGTGGATCTGTTTATAAGAAAAAAAAAGAATTACAGAACTGTACACCAAGAGTGAATCCAATGTTGGTTCCACATGCCATCCCACTCAATGATACACTAAGAGTGCTTGTGCTTCCCACAACTATAAGCTCTGTAAGGTTGGAAGTACTGGCCTCCCCCAGAATATATTATACATGTCTTACACTTTTCAAAGCATACAGTTATAAAAGTATTACAGAGTACCTCCCAGACAGCTTCTTTTCATTCATTTTTTCTCATGCAGAAGAATTCCATGAAGAGTCTAGCAGCCTCTCCTCCCATAGGGTCTACTGTCCATATGCCTTTCCTGCTTGTCTTTCTTTCAGCAGCTAAAACAACAATATATAGAAATAAAATAGATTGCTCAAATCCTGGTTCAACAGTTTCCAGAAAGCGTGGGCAAGTCATTTAAGCCAAGCATCAGTGCCATTACCTCCAAATGGAAGCAATAACTCCCACAGGTGGATATGCTAAGTATTAAATAAAATACCAAGTATAAATTGTTAAGGGGGCACTGAAAATTACTTATTATTGTTTATTATTTTCCTTTCCCATTCAAACAATTCACACACATTTTTACTTCACAGTTTTCTCCCAATTTCACTTGAAAGATCAGTTTCCTTCTATTTTTTTGTTCCTTGATCTGATCTCTATAGATGATCCCACTCTCATCCTATATATGATTAGAGCTACAACCCTGTACAGCTATCGGGGAACACCCAAGGCACCACAATTCTATTCATGTTCCCAAGGTCTGAATTGGTATTTCTCTCATTTTAGAAGTCTCGCAAAGGGAAAAATATCAAAAGTGAGTAATTATTTTTGACACACGCAAACCAGTAACCTGAACAATTAAGCAGATAAACATGCTTACAATGATAGTTGTGATAAGCAATTATTAAGGCGAAAGTATTCGCTGCCCCTCCCTCTCAGGCCTCTCCCTTTGAGGCTCCTTCCTTTGCAGGTTTGTGCTTGACACAAAGATATCAGGCTTGGCTGTGTAAATTGCTTTGTTTGGTTACTTTTGAGTGCAAATGACTGGGTGGCTCTGAGCAGAAATTGTAAGAGCTATTGTGTAATTATTTTGTCATAAGAAAGCCAGTGCTTTAAATAAGGGCTGCTCCATCAGCTTGGCTATCTAATGAGGAGGGCCCATGACAGACGCCTAAGAGGGAAGAGATGTGGAGCTGCCTAATTCCTTAAACATAGTTGAGCCTATCTAAGCTAAGGGATACAATCATGACTGCATAATCTCTCCCTGCACTGTTCAGTGGCAGTATGGGTTTAGTTCACAATATAGGGGGTAGGGGAAAGTACCTGCTTTTATTTTGCATATAGCTATCAGAGTCTTCTCTCTAGAAACCAAATTAAAATTTTTGTGCTTTTCACTCTGATGTGCACCTGCTCTCAGGTAAATGACCCACAAAGCTGCTACTAGAGCAAATGTTGGGAGAAGAAGGACTCTTGAAAATATTATGGATAAAACAAATGAAAACATCATAGTATCATTCAGGAATACCAGTGAAGTACAGAGTCTGATAAGCCAGAAAAGGTGAATGTGAAGAGAAATCAAATCAATGTTATAATTTATCATGGATAATTTTTCTTTCATTAAGACTCTAAAGATTGTTAGTCTTCTACAGGAGACATACTGAAGAAAAATGTAAAAATAGTATTGCTATGTTTTTCTTGGATTTTATTTTTAAATATATACTTACAATTTACATTATTTTTGTTGACAAAATTAATATAGAATTAAACAGGGAGATAAGTAGTTTCTTCTTTTCTCGATAGCAACTGGATATCTAGAACATCTGTGCAACTGACAGTGTTTCAATTTTTCATCTGAATGTTTGGCAAAAAATGGAGAAAATTTCCCTTTCTAAATCTAATTTTTATTATTGTGTAGTGCTATCCTAATAACATGTTTGTTAATATTTTCAGTACCATGCTGTTTAATCATGTAAAATATGGATACTATTTTGGAACAAAACAATAAATTGCATAATTATAAAATGCACGCCCAGATACAAGCTCTGAAACTTAAAAAGAATTTGCTTGCTAATTCTTTCTCCATAACACTCTATCTATTTCAGGAGAGATTAGCAATAGAATACATGAAACAGCTCCACGCTCGGTGGTCTCTATTGTGTATGCCTTTTATGTGAGATGAGAGAATTCTGTTCTTCAGCCAGGTGCTGATATAGCCCAATGGCATCTGCATGGATGCCTGCTTGGCACTTAGGGTAAGGGGGGCTCTTTGATTGTACCCTGGAGGTTTTGGAACATGGAGACAGGCATCATAATCATTCTTTGCAAAAAACTCCAAGGGCTTTACTTACATGTTTTTCCCTTGTCAACATCTGTCAAGAACCACATGTCAATTACCACTCCATCTTTTCTCAGGTAATAAAGGAGCAGATAGCTCCCAAATGAACAGTCTTTATCTTACCAGCAATATGCCCCAGGCCTTTGCTTCTGTATCTAACCCTCATAAATTTTTGTCATTATCTCCTTATAGGGATTTTGGCAAAGAAAGAGGCCTTAACTGAAGAGAAAGATCTTACTTGTAGTATAACAGAGTATAGGTGAGTGCATGGTTTGAGATACGAAGTAGAAAGAAGGCAGTAAACTTAGCAGATCTGTTTCCCTTCCCTGAAAGCCATCCCATCTTGGACTGATAAGATCACTCATCTGCTTATTTCTATTCAATTTTATTGTTTCCTCTATACAGTTGCATTCTTTTACTGTCTGTCCTAATATTGGCTTATATGTATGTACATGCCTGTGTGTGCATACCTAAAAGTCTTTTCTAAAGTAGTGACTAATTTAGGGCTGCTGTCAGACTGCATAGTCCACAACTTATGCCTAAGGTAAGATATATAACTACCTATGCTTCAAAAACAAAGAGGGATAACACACATTTTAATGTCAATGCTGGGATAATTTCAGGTTTTAACTAGAAATGGTCAACAACAACAAGAAAAGGACAGAGATCTTATTATCATAGAGTCTTTCCATTGGGGTTATTAATTCATTTTTAAATGTTTAGCTGTCATTTTCTCTAAATTCCAAATGCATCATATATCATGGTTTTTAGGCAAAAATACACAATAAAGCTCCTTGTTTAGCCCAAACAAGTTGGTGAGCCTCTGAAACTAGTAAGCCCAGATCCAGAGATGCTATGGAGACATACAGAGGCATTCCTTTATTTATCCTGCAAAGAAATGGTCATAAAGAGTTGTTTACTGAATTTCACGATGGGAACCCTAAGAAGATGTCAGGTTACTTTTTCTCCCACTAAAATTTAATAGACTATAGCTTTTCCACTGCCAAGTCCTAAGAACCATGTTTCTAAGAAACAGTTGCGCTATCAAGACTATGAGACCAGAGCTCATCTCTAGGAATTTATATGTCATGATGGTGCCATTCACACAGAAAGACTGTTATGTGGTAGGTAAATGAATGACAACACATTCTCTGCCATTCCTTTCACTAAAAAGTGAAGTCTCCATTCTTAATCTCTTACTGTGGGATGGCCTTTTAACTTCTTTGGCCAATAGAATGTATCAGCAGTGATGCTGAACCAACCTAGGCCCACATTCATTTCACCATACTGCAAGATGACTCTATGCAATAAGGAAGGCCATGTTGTTCTTTTTAAAAGGGCTACAAGAAGATGTCTTTGAAGGGAAAAAAATCAGAGAGGAGGTTTGGCTGATGGAACCAAGCCTTTAGGGTCTAAGAGAGGCCTTCTTTATCCTGCTAAACACTCCATGAGAGATATGAGCTAATAGTGACCAGAATAGAATGCCACCCAGTCAACCTATAGACTTAAGAAATGAAAAGTTATTTTTGTCTTAAGCTCTGACTTTGAGAAGGTTTGTTACACAAAAGATTATATCTTATGAATTAATATACATATCAAAATTTTTAGCAATACACACAACACCATTTCAAATGAGTATATGAAGAAGCTCTGAGTTGAAAAGAAGCCACTGGAAGCCATAGATTCTGATGGCTTTGGGAGTCAAACCCATGTCTGAGTCTTTGCTCTTTCTCTTCCTGTCTCTATGACATTAGGCAGCTGAGGCCTTTCTTGAAGTTTAGGAGTTTGACTCTTTGAGACAATGTCTCACTCTACAGCCCATGCTGTCTTGAACTCATGATGGCCCTGCTTCCTCAGCCTCTCAGTTTTGGGACTACCTCAATTCTGCATTCAGTTTAATGGCCTAGATAAACTGGGCAGTGTGCAGCAGTCTTTCAGCATGGCTCCTCATAAAAATTAAGAACTCAGCACTGGTTATTACTACTGCAAATCTATCATGAAGGGGCTTGCTGAAGAAGATGGATTTTTATTTGCTTTAAAGTTAATCCACATGTCATAATCTGTAGTTATGAGCTAGTCCGATTATCCCCAGATTTCCAGATACAATTACATTTTCTCTTGTTCCTAGGTGGATTATGAATTTGTATTAGTTTGCATTAAGAAAAACAAGTATAGTCGCTTTGTATAGCAGTGCCTGAGGCAGAAGCTATGTTGTGCTTCAAAACCCATATCTTTTCTCTTCTGCACACAGATAACTGTGGATGAAGCTGTAAGATTAGGTGCAAACAATCTGACAAATGGTAAGCGCTCATCGGTCTGGGTCCTGTAGGAACCTGTCAGCCACAATATTCCAGGTTCATTGGAGTAGACATCCTTCAAGGTGGCCTATAGGCTCTGCATGGAAGATCTATAAGTACAGAGAGAGAGAGAGAGAGAGAGAGAGAGAGAGAGAGAGAGAGAGAGAAGCTTGACCAGAAACCACTGCATTGTCCTGCAACATGAACAGGAAATACTTTCATTGTGTGACATCACATGTGTCTCAGCATTTGCATATGACAGCCTCTGGTATCATTCAAACTGACACAATTTCAACGAAAGTCTTGTAGTATCCATAACCATTTATTTCCTTATTTTTCCCATCCACCATTCATGGTTCTTTTCCAAAAAAGGAAAGGGTACCTTTTATTTTATTCATTGTCCCCTCCCTTACATTTGTGAGTTCTTTTTCCTTTCAACTTGGTCTCTATTGAGCCCACCAAACTGTGGCCTTCCTTCCTTAAATGCCACAGAGATTTCCATGCAGTGAGCATCTTCAGCTACACAGACACAGACACTTGCTCCTCCATTCATTCCTTACTGCCGTTTTCAAGTGTAAGGCCTAACCCTCACAGCAGGGTCTCTGGATGTGGGTAGTATCTAAGCCTCTTTAAAGTGATAGATAGTTTATGAATGATTCAAAGTTAATTCTTTGCAGCATTATTAGCACCACTTATTTAATTATACACAAAGAGCTATGTATTTTACACGGACAAAATCTGTGACTCTTATCACAAACCTAGGCCATGGACAATGTTAGTATCTGTACTGTGTAGATGAGAAACCAAGACTTAGAACATCTGGCAACTTTGCTAAAGTCACACAAGAACCATAAAATCTAAATCTAGACCTTGCAATTTTAGTTATACCCTCCACAGCTGCTCAACCTGGAGCTAAAAGCATCTGTCTTTTTATGGCATACATACAAATGTATGAAACGTATACAGAAAGCATTTTGATACATTCCCTTTAGAAGCCACTGACCATAGGAAAGAAATCTTTTCACCTTTGTAAAAAGTGGTGTTGGAGGTCTAATCTAAGGACTCATACATGCAAGGCAGGCACTTTGCTACCTGAGTCTCAGCATTTTAAATTTTCAAATTTATTTTTCTATAACCTCTAGTTATATAAAAATAGAATATATATATATATATATATATATATATATATATATATATATATATATCACAAGATAGACCTGAACTGATGGAGAGTATCCAACTGCATGCAAAGCATTAGCCTAGAGCTATTAGGTGCACTTTGTTTTGTGTTCTTGCTGAAGGAATTCTTGCTCAGTCAGCAATGAAATGCCCTAGTTTATAGATTCAGACACTCTGCTTCCAGGGAAGTAGCCATATAACCCTGGTGATCAGTTTGCCATTTCCAGTGTTACTAGTCACCTCGATTTTGATCCAACAGTAACAATATTCTATTCTTTGTTAATTGGGAGCTCCGTTGCAAAGTTACCTATTTTGTAACAATAATTTCATGTATAATTGGAAAAATCATTTCAGAAAACATCCTCATGAAACGAGAAGGCATCGAGTACTTATTAATTCCAGGCACTGAACTGATCATTTTATATTATTTCTTTGGTCATGCCCAGTAACCAGGTAACTGGAATCATTTTATTCCTACTTTTAAAAAATGAGGGAATTCAAGTACAATCAGTAAGTAATCTGTGAAGCTCATACAACAGAGATGCACAACAGCTTAGCTTTGAACTGGGATTCCTGGTCCAGAGTCTGCTTCCTAACCAACACAAATGCAGAAAGTGTGGACATCTCACTCCTGATCTGCAGTTGGCCTCTGGGTCAGGGGTACCAGGACGGTGAATGCCTGACTGGAAACATTTTACATTAAGCTCTGAGTGTGTCCGGGCCTCTCCTGTTTGTCCCTGGGAACACCTCTGAGTTACATTGCCAGGGAGAAATGCCAAATTTAATTCCAGGTGGCTAAAATATATTATTTCATCAATTTCCATATACTTTAAGGCATGTTAATTTATTGTGACTTTCTTTAAAAAACAGATTATTTCAGGACAAAAATCTCTAGAGAGTTGTCTTAGTCACTGTTCTTTTGCTGGGAAGAGACATCATGACAAAGGCAATTCTTATAAAAGAAAGCATTTAATCGGGGTCTGCTTACAGTTTCAGAGGCTTAGTCCATTATCATCATGACAGAGAGCATGACAGCACACAGGAGTAATCCATAAGAAGAGAACAAGCGGGGGGAGAGAGGGAGGGGAGTTGAAAAGGGGAGTAGGGGAGACTAGTCTTGGGCCTTTGAAACATCAAAGCCCACCCCCAGTGACACACTTCTTCCAACAAGGGCACACCTACTCAACAAGGCCATACCTATTAGAGCCTCTGGGGCCATTCTTATTCAAATTACCACAGAAGCATTATAAATTGATGTTTAAACTTTCCCATAACTACCTCTTGGGCAGTCTCTGCTTGAAATGGCAGCACTCTAACATCTAAGTCTGCATCTTTCATGAATGTGTTTCCTATGTGCATACTAAGAATGGAAATTTTACTCATTCAAAAAAGAGGATCCTTTGATGGGACCTCCATATTCTTCTCACCATTTAGGGCATAAAGAATACTTGGCTGTAAATCTTAGAGAAGTGTTAAATGATTTACAAACTTTTTTTTTCTTTCTGATGGAGCCATGAAACTTTGCCTTTGGTCTAGATATTCAGCCTAAATATACATGATGTCTTTCACCTGGGTGTTTGGAAGACCAAACAAACAACTTCATCATTATATCTTGAATTTCAGGACTTGCTTATGGCAGTAATTGTTAAGAAGCTGTCATCTGCTTAGCTGACTAAATCAGGATTATAAAGAAGATCCAATATTCCTGCCTGGGTACTGCTCATATCTGAATATTCACTTTCATATGCAGAGGATATTTCTATATCCCTTGTGGTTATCGTTACTATTTGGTAATTCACTTGAGAAATTGATGTATAGTTGCTTTGCTTCAAGGGACAAAAATTCTCCTTGGAAAGGGAACACCCAACTGGATTTTACCAAACTACAAAATGGGTTTATGAGCAAAACAATGTTGGGATCTAATTGCTTAAAATATACAATTTTCACTCCAAGCATGTAAAATGTTAAAACTAGTGTAATGATCCTCATAAAATATGAGCCATTAAAAAATTCCATCAAAGAAAAAGTTTATTAAAAGGACTTTGCAAATAACAGTAGCAAAATCCTAATACTAACTATAAAATAGGTCAAAAGATCAGGAGTTGCTTAGTTTTGGACACAAGGATCAGTGTCCTGTGAACCTACAGGAGAAAGCATGCTGCCAGAAAGGCAGGATGAACAAGTGCAGTCATGCTGAGATGCCCAGTGTGCTGGAGTACTCTGGTACAGCACACCATTATGCTGGAGAAGATCCCACACGGGCCAGTGTGACCTGCAGATGACAACATTCTCTGATCCCCATCGAACGTGAACTGACTTTCATCAAGAAGATCATATTTATAGCAGGATAAACTAGAAGTGTAAAATAAAATGGCTGCTTTAACAATGTGAAATATGTTACAGAACAACTCTAAACGTGTGTTTGTTTGCTTCATTTGCAGGGACCATGGATCATCACTTCTGGGCTTGATCCAGAATAGACTGTGACTAGGAAAGAGGTCATCCTCTAGCTATGCAGACGGTGGTCTCTGTGACACCCAATGTCTCGAAGACTTCCTCTCTCAAACCTCTAGACATACATTCTGATATCCTGTCAGGACTTCCCAGCCCAGGCCATGACTAGAGCAGAACTATTGAGAGTCAAGAAAAGGAATTCTATGCCGCGGAGAGTTCTAGGTTCTGTCTACAAACCCCAGCTTCAAACCTTCTGCTGAGATTATTGGTTGGCTTTTGATTGAGGCTTAATTTCAGGACTGTGCCTCAATGGATGCCTTCCACTGAAGAAGCAGGGATAGGATTTCATCAAGACAGTGAATTCTAAAGAGAGAATTGGGGGGCTAGAACTTACCTATGTGGGTTCATTGGCAGCATGTGAGACCATAGCCAAATGATTAAGTTCTCAATCTGTCAGTTTCCTTGTGTGGTTAGCTCTGGGTATGATAGTGATGTCTTATTGTAGCCTGTCATTTTTAAAGGGATGTTTGTACACATTTATGAGATTACATTTTCTAAACCAAATGACTTTTTTTTTCTAATGCTTATATTCCAGCATTTGTAAATCATTCTATTGTGTGAGTTAGATTCTACCTGGCTACTATTTAAAGCAGGAAAAAAAAAAACTCCTGAGTAAGAAGCCAGCCAGGCTGAGCAAGGAGGCAGAAAACCTGCAGCCATGCTGCCTTAATTTCCTCGTGCAGTTTTTCCACACCAAAGCTTGGTTTTCAAATTGCAGTCACTAAATAGAATGATTTGGAAGGAGAATCTGCTTCCATTGTTCCCTGTGTCCTGGGTTAAAACTCAGTTCTTGTGAAGACAAAGGCTTTGCCTGCTCAAGTGGACTTGAGAGAAACATTGTTCCCAGCTTAATCACCGAACAAGATGGAGGCAGAGTCTCTGGGTGGAAAGTGTTCAAATGTGACAGGCTTGCCTTGCAGTTGGTTTGGTTTAGGAGGGTTTGCCAAACTGTCCCGAAGATGGCGCCACGTGCTCAGCTTTAGAAAAGCCTGCGTCCTTTAGGCTGGTGTGTGAAATCACCAGAAACTGTTGCCTGGAAATAACTAACATTCCACTGTTAAAGCCTGAAGATTAAACTAATTCACCCAAGAAATGACACATGATTGAATTATCTCTAAATTTTTCATTTAGTGGTGTGAGAAAAAAGAAAATTCAGGAAATATTTCTTTGAGTTAATTCAATAGCAGGCTCTGAGTGTACCAAGCCACCTCTGACTTTGTTATTTCTGCTGTGTTCAATGTCAAAGGTATGATCGTGGGTCAAGTGGACTGAGCCAGAAATATGAATGACATCCTCGATATTTACTTATTTTAACCTCTCTCATCAGTGATGCCACATCCAGTCAACCACAGAATCCCTTCTATTCCAGGTCCTAAATGGCTCAGGTGTGTTCACACCTCTCCATTCTCAAAGCTACCAGCAATGTTGCCTGTTCCCTGGTACAGGATGATGGGAACTGCTCCAATTGATCACACCTTGCTCCTCTCCATGAACTTCCTACTCTTGATCATTATATACTCCTGATCATTAATCTCCCTGTTGGTAATCCCTGGCTCCTTTAAATGCTCTCAGGTAAATGCAAACTCTATGTGACCTACAATACCTTTTGCAATATAGCTGCCCTCCATTTCCCCAGCGTCACATTGCCACACTAGTCCTCTTGTTCTTTAATTTAATTGTGAGCCTGCTTTTCAACCACTGGTGCATCCATAGCAAGGCTGTATATTCTTAGTGCACCTGCCTATGCTTCAGCTATAGTTACAACTCACTGCTGTCCTACACAGACAGTTCCTAATCTCCATTCACCTGGCTCATGATGTGATGATTACCTTTCAACATGAACATTATTCCTCCCTAGAAGACCCCCAGAGTACCTTAGAATCTCAAATTATGATTTCAAAGGGCCCTGCACTTTCCTTCTTTAATAATTTGTCCCAACATGATTACTTGTTGTTTTTCCCGCTGATATATTATAAACTCTAGAGGTATAGGAAATGTCCTTGTATACCATTCTTTTTACAAATTGTATTTATTTACTGTCTTAGGGTTTCTTTTTTTTTTTTTTTTTTTTGGTTTTTTGAGACAGGGTTTCTCTGTGTAGCTTTGCGCCTTTCCTGGACTCACTTGGTAGCCCAGGCTGGCCTCGAACTCACAGAGATCCGCCTGGCTCTGCCTCCCAAGTGCTGAGATTAAAGGCATGCGCCACCACCGCCCGGCTTGTCTTAGGGTTTCTATTGCTGTGATGAAACACCATCACCAAACGTCAAGTTGGAGAGGAAAGGGTTTATTGGACTTACACTTCCATTCTGTAGTCCATCACTGAAAGAAGTCAAGACAGGAACTCAAACAAGACAAACCTGTAGGCAGGTTAGGAATCTGTTTTCTCCTTCTATCCTGTAGGTCCTAGAGATCAAACTTAGGTTCTATCAGGTTTGTGAGCAAGTGCTTTTACCCAATGAGGTTATCACTAGCTCATGACATTCTTTTTGTTGATTTTTGTTCATTTTTGCTTTTCAAGACAGAGACTCACTGTGTAGCTCAGGATAGCCTGGCCCAAACTGCCTTTGACTCAACAGAGCTGAGACTACAGGTGTGTACCAACATGCATGAATCCAGTATCTTCACAGTGACCTTGTATTACTGTCAGGTTTCTGCCAGTCTTCCTGAATGTCTCCCACATCTCTCCACTGCAGCCTCCTTGCTCATTTCCTCTCAGTGCTTCCTCCAGCTTTGCCTCTTCTCCTTGAATTTGCCAGGCACAATCCTGCCCAAAGGCCTTTGTCCTATTACTTCTTCTTCTTTTTTTTTTTTTTTTGCTTTGTTTTTGTTTTTGTTTTTGTTTTTCGAGACAGGGTTTCTCTGTGTAGCTTTGCGCCTTTCCTGGAACTCACTTGGTAGTCCAGGCTGGCCTCGAACTCACAGAGATCCGCCTGGCTCTGCCTCCCGAGTGCTGGGATTAAAGGCGTGCGCCACCACCGCCCGGCTGTCCTATTACTTCTTAAAAAGCACCCCCCAGCCTTCTGAGTGATCTCTCCCTCACCTGCTTTACATTCTCTATCCTAACATCATTTTCTCAGTAGACTCTTTTCTGACCTTGTCATTTGTATCTCCTTGTCCATTCCTATCTATCACTCTTCTTGCCTACATTTCCTCCTTAGTTCTTAGGATTGTGTAGTATTGTTTTGTGGATTGTTATTCGTCCCTCTACTACAATGCAAGCCCAGTGAAAACAGGGCGATGTCCCTCTTTGTTGCTGCACTGACATCTCTTGAGTAGCACAGGGTAGTTCTGTGGAATCTTTCTACTATTCCCGACTACTGATGCCATTGGTTACTTATTTTATTTTATTGCAGGGAGTAGCACTAAACCTTTCTAATTAATAGCTGCAGAGAATTCACATAATCCTGGAAAGTTTTTTCTCCTCTTGACTAATTTCCTATTTCTAGAACTCATCTTGTCTTTGGGGAGTGGGAGAGCAGGAAAGCTTGGAGGAACCAGAACTGAAAATAATTCTTCCCATGAAAATATCAAAGCATAAATTCCTGAGGCTCTTTAAATCTCTCTTGTTTCCAAAAGTAAAATTTTCTGAAAACTAAGATTGTTTGATTTGAGGCCAGAGCAGTGAGTCCTAATAAAACATCATCCCTTGGACAGATCCAGGGGCTGTGGTCTCTTATTGTTTGATGAGACACTCAGAAAAATTTGGATTCCCTAGTCATTAGGCCAGCTTTTATGATAAAGTTAGTGCGGTTGCCTCTCAGTATAGCCAGCTCGATCATTTGGGTGGAAATGCGAGGCCGCTCAAGCCAGGCCAGCTGTGCAGTTACACAGAGCCCAATATCCAAGTGAAGAACTGACCAAGAAGAGTCAGGTTAAAGGACTGTAGACTGCGGTATAAGTCTACAAAGCTGAAAGCCTACATTGAACAACATCCTGGAAAACAATATTCAGCCTCACACTATATAATGCTCACTCATGACTAATGATTTATCACAGAAGTTACAGGAATGTAAGAGGAGCAAACAGATGTCAGAATCTGTAATTTCAAGGGAGTATCATGCTGCAACTATAATTAAACACAATATTGATATGGGTGTGTAAAATACTTTATAGGGAAAATCCAGGATTTACCACATATCATGTGAAGTAAAAGTGAAATGTCTATATTGAATTTTTATTCTTTTAACTATTACACAAGAAAAATTTTATAGGCTCTATGGAATGTCATGTGATGTTTTAGTATGTGTATCTGTTGTATAATATTTATACCAGGGCAAACATCTCTTTATACTTAGGAATTATTTGTGGTGGAAACATTCAAAATGCTTTCATTGCTAAAAGGTAAGTGTCCTAGTTTATAAAATCCTGCAAGGAAGGAAGAAAATGTGATGTCATATTTGGTTGGAAGTGTAAGCAGAAGATTGCAAAGGCCAGCTTATGGTATTTCATCACTGCACAATGGCACAATTTATCAATGAAAAAAGAAGCAATGTGAGTAAAGTAAAAAAAAAAAAAAAGAGGCTAAAGCAGTCGTTAATGAAGCTACTCTAGCAAAGGTTGGATATTGGGAGACATCTGGGAGGCAAAGAGTCAGGGAAAGATTGAAGAAATAAGCAAGACAATAGGAATTGTCAGAGTTCAACAGAAAAGAAAAGGAAATATACCTGTTGATTACATTGAAATGGCACCAAACCCACAGGAATGGAGGTAAGAAACCAATGTGGGAAACAGAAAAATAAAACCCTTTTTTTTTCCGCAAAAGAATTCCCCACAGGGTTGGAACAATATCTCATTAGGTAAAGTGCTTGCTTTGCAAGCACAATGACCAGAGTATGAGTCTGGACTCACATAAGAAAAGATATAAGTGGTGTTGCCCACTTGCAATCCCAGACTAGGGAAGCAGAGACAATGGCCAACTAGTTTAGTGTTCTTGGAAGGTTTTGGATCAGTGAGAGATCCTGTTTCAAAAAATAAACACAAGACACATAAACCAAGGAATGACACACAAAGTTGTCTTCTGGTCTTATAATCATACACATGCACCCATGCACATGAAAAAGATCCCCATGATTGGTAATGATCAGAATAAAAGGGTGAAAGTTCAGAAGTAAAATGAAAAATGGCCAAGAAAATGCACAAAATTATTATACAAAGTTATTACCTTCTTCATTTCACAGAACTGGCCTCTGGAACATATCAAGTGAATTGTATTTTCAAAGATTCTTCATATTTAGAGAAAGAAAAGAGGACAAATAGAATGGAATGGAGCTTCTGGAAAAGAAGTGTTCCTTAAAAGTCTAGTGGAAATTCCACTCAGAAGTAGTCTAAATCATAGGACTAGAGTTACAACTCATGCCTGGGATGTCCACAGCCATTTATTTGGTCTTACAAGTGGTTTGCCTGTTTTCATGGTGGTAGACTATAAATGAGGTCCAGACTTGGTCCAAAGACAAACTGACTGGAGGAAAGCGGTAAATCCTGGGGGAAGATCTGTCTGCCTGGCCTCATGTGGAAATATTCCCTTTTGTATTATTAATCCCATAATAGAACCTGTAGTGAAAGACTGACCCATCTATATAACATGGACTCCAACAGTGTCAATGAATAGCAATCAGGTGTTCCCAAAATAAACTCCACTGAATGTTACCATCTGTTCAACTGTACTAGGAATTAATGGATTAAAGGAAATTAATGTAGTTTTTTTTCTACTAGAAGACATCTATGATCTGAGCATTGTCACGTGTTTCTGCCAACATCATAGTGTGCGAACATCACAACATTCTGTGATTCTTTTCCATTTCCCCTTATGGTTTATTTTCAATAAGCAGTCTTGCACTGAGTTACCTTGCCTCATGACATAAAGTGCCCTTCTGAAACAAGAGCAAATTGCTAGAAAACAGGTTCATCCCTCAAAATAAAGGGTGAATTTCTTAGCTTCTGGTACAGCATCCCTTCATTGTCCTCTGCATATCCTTGTGGACCTTTGGAGGTGCGGGGAGCCAAGGGAGACATGATGTACATGTTGTCTAGTTGTCATGCTGTAATAAAGTTCTTTCTCATGTCTTCTGCCAACATTTGTGAAATGTCAGAAGGCTA